AAAATCATTATTTTTAGAAGTAATTAAAGATGAGAATATTAAGGTCCGGTTTAGTGTAGCATTCCTGTTTCTTTTGTTTTGTTTATCGTTTTGAGTTTTTTTTTTCAAGTGTTATCATTCTTCATTTATAAAATTCATAATAAATATTAAAAAATTAAATATAACATAAAAATTTTGAATATTTTGTATTAAAAAAATTAATTTTTTAATTTAAAATTTTAGAGAACAAGAAACAAGAAATGATACCAAACATGTTTCTGTTTTTATTTTTTCAATAAATAACCAAAACAAGAAATAGTTACCTAATGCTCTCTATTTCCATTTATTAAAAAAGAGGAAATAAAAAGTAGAAACATTACGAACCCTAATTAATTTGACCCATATTAGTTCTAATATTAGCGTTAAGACTCCAAATTTAATAAAACATCATCAATTTTGACTCGCCTAACAATGTACATCCTACCATCTATATGTCCAGATGGAGGAGTAGAACATTAGATTTTGACTTTATAATAGTTTCATTATTTTTCAATTTGGCATAACAAAACTTTTGCTTCAATTTAAAAACACAAACAGATTATGGGTTTAGTTTATGAAAGATATTATCTTGTTACGTACACAATCTTAATTCCTCAAACTTTATGACAAACGCAATGATCTAACTCCTTGGAAGATATTTATTTCATATATATATATATATATTTTTTTTTTTTTNTAAAAAGAATGCTTTCTCATTTTATAATTTACAATACTGATGCTTTGCTGACAACGGAAACTCGTTTGATTTAATAAATAAAACAAAATAAATTGGAGATGAGATGGCTTTGAGTCAACTTGCATTGTGACGCAACATCATATACCATATGGTTTGATATATATTAGCTTACTATCCACTTCAAAAAAAGAAGAAAAAAAAAATGGCTTTCACAAGATTTTTCGAATTAATGATAAATAATTTTATTAAATTAATATTAAAAGTAGTTAAATATATGGAATTTTTTGGGACTGAGATTTCCATTTTTTTAATGTTTATGTAAAAGGATTGGTTTAGTTACGAATATATTGAAATCCTTTCATATGGATCTTTATTACCTAATCTCAACTACTCTCCTAGTCCCAACAAATTTCAACTGTCTTGGCTTTTATTTATGTTTTTAGTACTTTTTTTTTTCCATAAAGTTTTTTAATAGATTTAAATCGTATATATTTTTATTGGAAAATATCAAAGACTCAAATATCAAATATCAAATATCTGATCTTTAAAAGAGGTAGATAATTGAGGTGGTGTTAGTTATTTTTTATATTCTTTTAACTTGTATATAACTTAATTTGTTAAAAATTAATAATCCTTTTYATAGTTGTCAATATTAGMTTAACTTAGTGGTAAGGGACGTTTTTATCTGATTAAGAAGTCATGAGTCGGAATCTTCTCACCTCCATAAACTTTTTCATGGTCTCGAAATTGACAATTTTTTTTACATTTTAGTTAAATGATTGATAGATAAATTAGCCAATAGAATTTTAATACAGGGAGACCTTTTATTTTTTATTTTTACATTTTAGTTAAATGATTATAGATAAATTAGTCAATAGAATCTTAATATGCTAGTTGTCGGAATTTCGAAACAAATCTAAATTTTTGTTAAATAATTGATAGGATTTTTAATTCAAAATTCACTATATATTTTAAATTAAAAGAGAATATTTGAAAGCTATGAAACTAAAACTATATCTATATCTATACTATATCTAAATGGGGCTATGGAGGAGAATMTTTGCCTCCCCATTTTGCCCCCAACTTTTGAATATATAYCTATTTTGCCCTTCAAATTTCTACAAGGGACACGATTGTTCGAGTTAAAGTCTGTTGAGATAACAAATCCAAAAAGTTGTGACCAAACAAGGAGTTTAATCCARAAGAGTTGTAACCGTTCGAGTGRAAAGGTGTGTTGAGAGAAGTTAATCTAATGAAAATTACAACTATTTGATGAAGTGATGCATCTATCCACGTATAGGTGTCATAGCAAATAATCTATAAAATAAAAGATTATGTCTTTTTCTTTTATGACCTAAAACTCATTTCCAAAATATTAATGAAGATTTTTCTTATCTTCATGAGTGAAAACTGAACCATGTCAAAAGAATATTTGAGATTCCATAAACATATTTAATCGATTAAAAAGTAGAGTAACAAAATCATGTATTCGTATTATCTTCGACTTTTATTTCTTTTAGATTATTTTAATATTTTTATGTGGATTACTTTTAAGTTATATATTCATGATACCTTCGTGTTTTAATATTTAGTTAATATTATTTTCAAGTTTGATTTAATATTTAGGTAAGATTCTTTTCACGTTTTAAAATATATTCATGTTATATTTTAGTATTAGTTTTCTTATTTATCTTAATATGACTTTGTGATTGTTGTTCTTATTTTATTTTTCTTGGTCATGTGATTTTTTATTCCACATTTTTTCAATGATTTCATAGCATACATAGTATTCAGTCTCTCTATCAAATTTCAATTCTTTAATTTTGGTTCACTTTTCCTTGTTACATAATATACAAAAGATAAAAGAATGAGTAAATAATTTAAGAAAATACACAAAAAGATTATTGTTGTTTTCTTAAAAAAGAAAAATTGACAACGAATAATATATTTTATTTGAAAACAAAATATTAGTACCATTTAAAAATTCTGTTGAATTGTTATCCTATATGTTAAATTGGTAGAAATATTATATTAAATATATTTTATTTGAAACAAAATATTAGTGCATTTAAAAGTTCTTGAGTTGTTATTCTATATGTTAAATTGTTAGAAATATTATATTAAAATATTTATAACCACATGCCATGCACGTGATATTAACTAGTATAATGAAGGGCTATGATGTATRTTGAAGGTAAAAGGTGTAGATGTAATTTAAGACAAATATTTGATACCAACAATTTAAGTGTCGATACCTAACACATTCATTAAAACTAAGCCGTAAATTTAATTTTATATATATATATATATATCATTTTTTTTCCAAACAAATGTCCAAAGTAATAACAAAAATATAACCAAACATGCAAACTGTTACAAGGAATCTTTCAAACAACAGAAAGAAAATTATAATTATGATAAAGAAATATAATGAACTATGAAGTAGGTGTAGGGGGTGTTTAAATTGGATTTAAACTACCCATTAATTCAATCAGAAAAGGAATCAAACCAATAAGTAAATTTAAAATATTGTGTTAAGATATGATTAAGAATTATAATTAAAAGAGACTCCAAATAATTACATTACCCAATGACAAAAATTGCTCCATGTGATCACATGGCCAAAAATCAGGTCGGTCCCGCCATCTAATGCCTCATTCATGTCCTTTTTTTTTCTTTTTTAAAAAAGAAGAAAAAGAAGAAAAAGAAAAATACTATTTTTAGTTCATTTTTATTCAAAAAAGAAATTAAAAATGATTTTATTTAAATTATTAAGCTTAAATAATATTTTGTTGTATGTACTTTCAAAATGTCTACTTTAGTTATTGTAGTTTCGAAACGTTATTTTTAATCTCTACATTTTTGGTCCACTCATTTTATTTGTTATTTCATTTTTTCAATAAATTTATTGAAATGTAGTCAAAATTTTGTGTTAAAAAGTTTATTTAAAATTTTACAAATAATAATTAAAATGACCTTTTTAAAGTACTAAAACAAAAAAAAAATGGATAGATACCAAGATCAATTAAAGTCCAAACTACATAAACTATAATAGTATTTAAACCAAATTATTTGGAAATTTCCACAAAATAAAAAGCAGTGCTTTCTACGAAATTAAAAAAATTAACAATAAAATAAAATTTTAAATTTTAAAAGGATTGGAGATGAAATTAAAATAAAAACAATGACATTATGTAAACTTATACCAACCAAAACCAAAATCTAAAACATTTCTGCCAATTACTTAAGCATATTAATAACTTCTTAGTACCTCTCAGAGGTCTAAACTTATACTCTAAACCCAATTTGATAGATTGAATTATACGGGTTTGTTTTTAGTATGAATTATATGAGTTCTTCAACTTTCAAATTTCTATCTAACAAATCTTGAAATAGATTTGTAAATTAATTTAAAAAAAAATACATTTATGAACTTTAAAATTCGTGCCTAATCTATTACCCGTTTTTTTTTTTGCAACAGATCTCTAATTTTGTCTTTTTTTTTTTTAAATGTTTAATAGACCTAATATCTATGAGACACAATATTGAAAGTTGACATTAGGTTTATGGACTTATTGAATATATATATTTTTTAAGTTTAAAATCTCATTAGACACAACTTTGAAGTTTGGGGACAAAACTCATAATTTTTAATTGTTTAAATACTCTTTTAAACCACATATTTTTATTTTTTTGTTCATTTCGGTCAATGTACTTTCAAAACATCTATTTTGACTCTTATTCTTTYAACTTTTGTTCATTTTGGTCTTTATATTATTCTTTCACTGTGAAACGTTCGTTTTAATCTTTATATTATAAAAATGGTCTCTTCATTTTCATTTTTATCCCATTTCGTTTGATCAAAATTTTAGCATGATATTTGACTCACTAATTTTTTTGAAATTTAGTCATAAATTTGTACTAAAACACTTCCATTGTGTATAAAATTTGTGTTAAGATTTTGTAGATAGGAACTAAAATGGAAATTTTTTAAAATTACAAGAATCAAAACAAAAGTACGAATACAAGTTGAAAGTACACAGATCAAATAGATAATTTGAAAATACAAGAATCAAAATGAACCGAATTATTTAAACCTAATTTAATCTATATTATATTTTAATAACCAAACCTTCACTCAACTCGAACGTTCCAATCTTCTAGTTGAAATTAAAAGCAGAGAGACATGAAAATACTTTAAAAAGAATAAAAAAGAGTTGCCAGTTAAAATTAATTAAATATCTGCTTAACGTATTTAGGTATTGCCGTTAACATTGGGAATTGCAAATACAGAGAGAGAGAGCGACTTTGACTGGTAAATTTTCTGCTCGCCATAGCCTTCACAGTGGGAAGAATTTCAGTCAACAAAACCATTGAATCTCTCTCTCCACTCTCCTCCCTCATCAGCTTAAAAATGCCCAAATCCCCATTTCTCCTCCCCCACTTTTCTTCTTCTTCTACATACCCACCACAGCAAGAACAACAAGAACAACGACCCTGAAATCAGACATCGCAAATGGGGTTCTCCAAGGAAGAGAAATCGAAGACTCTGTTGAGGGGTCTAAAGACCCTGTTCTTCTTGATCACCATGTTGATTTCCCTCCTCCTTTTCTCCGCCCCTGTTCTTCTCGTCATCGCCGACGCCCTTCTCCCCTCTGCTCTTCTCTCCGCTTCTCTTTACCCTTACTCCCTCTCCCTCAAATCCCTCCCTTCCCATCTCTCCCACTACGATTTCCGCTCTTCCCTCATCGACATCCCCCTGATTTCGCTCCTGAGGTCCGCCATCATCATCTGTAAGTCCCCATTAGCAATACCCATCTCCAATTTTGGGTTGATTTGATCTTATTTGATTGATTGTTTTCTGGGTTTAGGTGTTTATAGCTTCTGCGATGGGCCGAGGCTCTCGCGGGGGCCGTACTTGGGGATCACCACGTTTTGCTCTGTGGCTTCGTTGGTGTTTGTTTCGTTGAAGGCTTCGTTTGTGTTTGGTGGGGATTTGTGGGATGTTCGTCGAGGGGGAGGATATGCGAGAGGCTTGGAGGTGGCTCTGTTTATGTGCTCTCTGGGTTTGGCTGTGGGGCATGTTGCTGTGGCCTATAGGACCAGTTGCAGAGAGAGGAGGAAGCTCCTGGTTTACAAGATTGATATTGAAGCGGTAAGTGTTTGTTGTTTTGCCTCTGAGAAATTTTTTGCCTTATGAGATTAATCATATTAGCACACTTGCAAAATTTTCTTGTTTGCTTTCTTCTTTGTGAAAATTTGGGAAAATTACTCTTGAGTTTTAGTGTTGTTAGGATGACCTGAGAAATGCCCAAACTACTCCTGAACTACTAATTGAGTTATAATACTTTGAGAAATATCCTACCTTTGAACTATGCCCTTGAACTTTCAAAAAAAAAAAACCCGAATACTAAACGTGTTATTACTGTAGGGGTTAGTTGCAACGTTTTTTAATTTAAAGGAGTAACTGCTTAAATTGAAAGTTTAAATGTAAGGTTATAACAGCTCATCATGTAGTTTAGAGGTGTCTTATTTTGTTATAAACTTCTCCTTTCTTTTTTTTTTTATGAAAGTGATTCTTAAAAAAGTTTCTTTCATTAAAAAATGACATATGGCTGTTTATGAAAGTCAGAAAAATCATCGAACTTTCAGGTCCCACTTTAAGAGAATTTCAACGAAAGAGCAAGGAAAATTCTTCATTTTTACAAGAGAAATGGAGTTATTTTATACTTCTTCTAGAAAGTCAATAACTTCATATATTATTTCTATCTAAGACTTAATCAACAAGAAATGACCAGCCATAGCAACTTCAAAAATTTCAACTTTCAGTTTTCATATCTTGTGGGCATACGGCTTTCTGACTAAGTCAATGAAATTATCGATTTAAACTACTTTTATTTGTTCCACTACGATTTCCCGTCTCTTTTCCTTTTGTATCTCTCAGAAAATTTCTCCAAAATCTTTATTCCTGATTCCTTTTCCATTTGTTATGTTCGATATTTTATAATTAGAGATTTGGTATAGAAAATATCGACTCACATATTCAAGAAATCTGTGTGGTTGGCAAATATATTCAATAGTGGTTGTCATTTAGCTGTAATAGCTCAGCTCTTGATTGTATGCCATGTGCTTCTGTGCCCACATTGTGGCATAATCATAAGGCTGAGCTTCCAAAGAAGAATATTGCTCAACATTCTTTATCCTTCCCAATTAGTGCCTAACTACTTGACAAACATTTTGGCTACTTACATTGCAAAATCTTTAGAGATTCATTATTGTTAGGACAATGATCCTCTTCTTTTTATAATGGTGTTATATTGACCCACTTTAGACCTAAACTCGTATGGTTTTACTTTTGGTTTCACAAAAAAGTTCTATACCAATTGGATGTTCACCTTACTTATATACTCAAGATCTTTCGACTCACGTCTAACTTTGGTGTAGAATAGATTTACTATTTCTCGTTCCTTTCCTTTCCAAGTCAATTAGACCTTGCCAATTGAACTTATAGTAATTTAACGAGTTACTAAACACGTTATTAAGGTGAGAGATGAAAATAAGAACCTTGGAGAAATGATTGTTGGAATGTGACAAAAAAGGGTATGGTCGTACGAATTTCTGGCAATTACCTGGACTTTGCTGTCAATATTCAATGGAAATTGATTGTATATTTAGTTAATTACATCTCTAAAGGCCTTCAAACAAACATGGTGATTTAGATTGCTTGTAGAGTAGGATACTTCCTTATACGACTTTGACAAATTGTAGAGTTCATTTTTCCTATAGTTTCCTTCCCTAGGCTTTAGTCCAACACAAACTTATTCTACTCATCTTATGAAAAGAAATGGCAAGCAAGCTTTCGGATCGAGAAATTATTCGATAAAATTGCCATAACACTGGTTCATGGTCGATTAATCAGCATGAAATTTCTACTTCATCGACATACTTTCGAGTTAATAAAAACAACGAAACCATTTTATTTGCAGGTTTCAGCTTGCAAGAGTGGCTTCCCCAGGTACCAAAAGATTCTACAGCAGGAAAGGGTGAAGTAAAACACCATCCAAGGAGATCAAAACTTGTTTTCATCTAACCTATTTCACCCCGGTCTTCAGGTTTCAGGTGAGGTTCTAAACGTTCTTCTTGATCACATGTCATTGAGATAAGAGATGTCGTTTCTAGTCTATATGTATAATGCATAGTTAGCTTGAAGTTGTTTCCTAGCCAACCATATTTATACAACATGACACGTCTTGTCGCTCTGTTCTCAAAGCAACTCGATCGGGAACTGATTTTGGCCTCTTTCTTTCTGATGCAGATTTCTAGAAAATAACTTGAAATCAATGGACCTGCAGATTCTGGAGGTGCAAAGCTAACTAAAACTCTGGTGCTGTCTGTAAATTTGCTGGTTGTGTCACAATATGGATATAGAAACATACAATTTTGCCTCATATTTAACCATCAAGTTTATCTGATGTAAAATGTATAGTTTGGATCTAAGCACGAAATGGTATAGAGCCTTGTGATCTTATGATGTTCAGCTTCCGATCCTATCTTGGTTCTTTTGTTGTCGACTCGAGCTTTTAAGTATTTGTTTTTTGTTCTGAAAACTATTTTGATCTCCGAACTTTGTTTGTTACTACGCATGATGTTTCAAATATTCTAACTTTTGTCAAGTATTATAAACCCTATCCAATAGGCTGGACGTCAGATTTGAAAAATAGACAATTAAATAGTTTTTAGGTAAAGTTTAAGGACTAAACCAGAATAAAATATTTGTCAAACAATTAAAGATCAAAATAAAATAAATGGTAAAAGTTGAACAACCCAAATAAACTTTAAACCTTTATTTTTCAACGAACTCATAAAGATTGACATTTAATAACGAGAAGTATTGTCCACAAAATGACATAAATAATAACAAATATGTTAAAAATACGTCTACTGTCCCTTTTCTTTATTTTGGTTCATATACTTTTAAAATGTACTAGTTCGATACATCGTGCAAATGCACGAATATTTTCTATTTAACTTAATTTTATAATAACATAAGAAAAAACAATACCATTAATAGTATAATAATAATAATAATAATAAACAAAAAAAAGAAAAAAATTAAGATGTATATATACAAACTTCATTAAAATATATGTACTTTACTAATTTAATCATTTAATCTATGAGTGTATTTAAATTGCATTGTTTCGTACCCCTTCTTCTTAAAGAATTTTATGTTACATTTCATATTTTTAATATATTGATTAAGAAATGTATAAGTTACTTTAATTTTTTTTTATTTTAACAATGTTATTTTATCTAATTTGGTCCATTATTTTCTAAAAATATTTTGTTTGTTTATTAAAAATTCTAAAAAAATTTCAAGCTAACATTTTGTTATATATAAACATTTTAGTTTATACTAATTTAAATTCATATTATAATTAAAATTATTAAAAAAATCTTTAAATTATATTATATTATTAGAAAAGGGAGAGACAAAAAGTTATATATTCCAACTTTTTAGATTTCATACAAATTATTGTACATAATTAATTTATTAATTTACTATTTAGAATTAATTAAAATTTTATATGTTTACACAAATTTTTTTTCAACAAAATCAACATGAACTTGTAATAGATCAATACATTATTATTATTTTCTAAAAAAACATTCTAAATACATGAAACACTAAATATAAAAGAACAAATACAAAACAATAGTAACAAAAAAAAAATCAAAGTTTATCAATACACTAATCTAAAATATGTTGATGCTTAACAATCACTATTATTTTACATTATTATGGAACGATGATCTCGCAAGTTTTAGATTCAAGATATAGTGTCGACACATGTATTCTCTACAACTTGATGAATATGTCGCCAACATGATTTTGAGATGTTTTTGAGATTGAATAATATTTGAGAGCAATGTTTTGAGAGATTAAAGTGTTGTGAAAAAATAGTGAAAGAAAGTATGTTTTTATAGTATTAGGAGATAAAACGTTACAAAACTTTTGTAATTCTATTATAAATTGTAATTAAAGAAAATAATTTAATTTAATGGTGTAGAAAACCTTTTGTATTCTAACCTTTTGCATTCTAACCTTGTTTAGATCATGTACATTTATTATTATTGATAATTAATAATCAATAACTAATTTAATATTTATAATAAATTATTAATGACATAATTTGTAAATTAATAAATTAAGGAAGGGACAAAAGCGTCCAAAAATGTTTTTCCGAGATCCTCCCATTTTAATATAGTATAGATATTTTGGTCATGATATTTTCACTTTTGGTTTACTTTAGTCAATGTATATATTTTTTTATATTCGTGAGTGTCTGAGCCAGCTTACACGCAGCTTCACTAATCTCGACACGAAGCACCTTTGGACGAATGAGCCATCCATGATGGTTATGATCTTATACTTCCAAAATATTTGTTTTTGTACCTGTACTTTTAAAAAGTGATCGTTTTGTATCTCATTTTTCCATCCCAATTCAACGCAACACTATACTCAATATATTTCTCGAAATGCAGTCATAATTATATATTAAAGAATTTTTCATTGTGCATAGTTTTTGTGTTAAAATTTTGCAAACAAGGAYTAAAATGACTCCTTTCTAAATTACAGGGACAAAATAGACATTTTGAAAGTATATGAACATATACAAAACTAAAAGTATATCCACCAAAATAATATTTTAACCTAATAAATAATTGGTAGGTTGATGTCACTATATAGCACATAATTCATCAATAACATGTGGAGTAGCTTGAATATATATGTGCGATTTGAAGATAGAAATAGAAATAAATCATAATTTTACTTTCCAATGCCTCCCTACCATGTCTAACTTGGCCTAATTCACAATCCCTACATTTTTTTTTCCTTAATGTCCTAAAAAAGGTTGGGCTAGGTTCCCATTTTTTAGTCCTATCAAGAATCAAGATGGCCAAATTTAATTACTATATATAATAAGTCTTTTTAGGCCTCTTGCTTGGTATCCTTATGATGTTGGGAATTAAATGACATATATCCACCAAGAAAAGGATTAAAATAATGGGTTGTTAGCACTCTAGTTGTCATATCTTTCAAATGATAAAATTGAATGAAACCAATTAAATTAGAAATAAATTCGTGAACAAAGATATAATTTATACCTCGCTATAAAGTATATACGAGTATATCTCTCTACAATTAACAAATAAATCAAATAACTTACAAACCTTTCGGTCCGCGACTAGACAATGGTTGGGATAAATGGAGGGCTCGGATGAGAACAAATGACAAAAAAAGAAACCTCAAGATAAATGAACGGAAACAATGGACGGTCGGTCGGAGATGAAGGAGAAGCCAGACGGACGGCAGCCGGAGACAAAGGAACGCAGATGACGGCTGGAGACGAAAGGAATGAACGGAAACGGAAGAAAAGTCGGAGGAATGAGGTTTTCGAATTTTTTCAATAATAGAGGATTTTGGAGATTTGGTATTTTTTTACTTTTGGAAAGTCTAATTAGACAAAATTTAAGAGATTTAAAATGTAAGTTAGCAATTTTGAATTTTAAAAATTAATTAATATTGAGGTGAGATATAAAATGATATATTAGTAAATTGGGTGATAAGGTACATCCTAACGGAATTGTTTCACGACAAAAATGTAAATTTTAATCCTTATAATTATAGTCTAGTCTCTAAATAGTCTGTAATTCCTTTCGACGTAAGGACACCGAAATTAAAATCGAAAGTCCCAAAATCGAAAATCGCAAAATAAACTATCATAATTTGAATAAATAAACGATTCCGACGAATAAGTCGTCAATATTAATATTGCCGCGGGACCATATTTGCTTCCGGTATTGAGGAATTTTTTTTCGAAATCCCTTATACTGTGAAAATCCCTTATGGTATTAAGAATGTCCAGAAAAATTTGAACGTTTGATTGGGTTTGAATTATTATTATTATTTGAAAGAGATTGGGTTTCAAATTTTTACTTTACCACTAGAAATTTTGAATGTCTAGAAAATTAGAGGTAAGAAAAGCAATGTTGTTTTAGAAATTCTAGAAGAAATATTTGATTGATTTCAGATTTCAATTTAAAATTAGAAAGAAGACTCCCGACCGTAAAAATTTTAAATTTTGGATTGGAGCTAATTTTGAAAAAATTTGAGGTTTGAATACCTATTAAATATAAGTATTCAAATATAAAATAAATCAAAATCAATTAATTTTAATTAAAGGTAATTTGGAGATAAAATATTAAAATTTATATCCGAGAATCTAGATTTACAAATATTTAACTTAATAATCCTTCGTGATATCTTTTTGAGTATAATTTGACTCATTAATAACAAAAACTCTTAAATTGAAGTTTTGTTTTCAAAATCTTTATCCGTAAGATAATAATGCGTATAGTAACCTATAAAGTTATTTATTCCAAATTTTATTTAAGACTAACTTTAATAAAATTTAAAAAACCATTATTGATTTTAAATTTTTTTATCTATTTATGTTTTTCACCTTTCTCTAAAATATATTTAAATTAAGCTCTCACTAGAATGAGACACTTATTTGAAAAAGATATGTATATATCCTGTCTAGCCTATATCATGATCGGTTAAAAATAAATAAACCACCCATCAACTCAATTGCAACACCTGCATCCAAAAACTTAAGTTTATAGGTCTATGGCTATCTCAACCTTAACTATTTTTTCAGCCTCTCGATAAAATATGGGCAGAAACTGAGTTCGGAAAGATGTTTAGGGCGATCTTTTTATGGATCATTGCTGATGAGCTAATCACGTAAGCTGATTACATTTGATTTAGAGCAATTTGTGGTTCGTGGAGAAGAACTTTGGCCGAGTTTTTAAAGCACTCACATCACCCAAGTTCTATGGGTGTTACTTCCTCCTTCCTATAAATACAACGATAATCCATTCCATGATAATGTTCAAAGTTTCTGCAACCCTTTAAACAACAAGAAACTTTGTTTAATGGAGTTGCATCAACTTAGAAATTGACTTTGTTGTGGCTCTTCTCATGGTTTGGTTGGTGACTTTTGAAAAAAGTGGTTAGAAATTGGAACTCTTTAATCCTCTTACCAAGTCCTAGCTCCAACTCCCCCAACACCTATTAGTTCAATCAGCATACGTTTCCAAAATCATTACGAAGCCATATAACCATTTCAACCTGACTCTCTATTCTCTCGTTAAGAAAGTTATTTCTTCATTTTCACACTAAAAAAGGGATCATCACCATCATCATGGACGAGGACGATATTGTAAGTGTAGTTTGTGTTGGGTGTGTTGCCCTAAACTCGTAGTTTGTATTTATGTAAAAATAAATTTATATTCAATAAAGTTATATGTTGAAGGAAGCAGGGCCGAACGTTTCTGTAATATGTTAGCAACATTTTGTAATTTGACCTTTCACGTTTACACGGTTTGAACTCTAACAACATGTAATAGTAATATGTTAGCTACATTTGTTGTAGTTTGACATTTTGCATATACTATTGTGAAATATTT